GATATCTATTCGATCAGATTCCTTAGAAAGAAAATTGTAACAAAATATGAAAAAAAAGGTATTCAGGAATGTACCGCCTAGCAAATATTCGATAACAATTAAAGAGATTATATTATAATGATATAATTGAAAAAAATAAATCCTAGCATACGATGACTTTTATTGATATCTTTTAAATGTGGTTCAAACAAAAGTTTTTGATGAAACGTTATACTAAGGTGCTTCAAACTTTGTCAAGTGTTTTCAATTCAGTATTGAAACTCGATGAAGTTGCGCTTAAAAGTAAAGAGTAAAATTACATTTTTCCGAATTTAAAGGCAACCAATACACCATCTACGCAAATTAGTACGCGCTTTTTGAACCTTAATATAGTCACGTTTTTGATCTTACAGTATAACTTATTAGTATCAGCATAAAGGAGGCTATTAACTAGCCAGATTCATTGAGACGTCAAGTATATCATTCACTAAACTGTTAAACATCATTGAGCCCAGTATTGGGGCCTGAAGAACTCCTGCAGGAGCCACGACCTCAGACGGACATCTACCTTGACAACATATATATTGTTTTCTTGCTTCAAACATTGTTCTACACAGATTAACCAAACACTAAAACATGTTAGTAAGTTTTCGAAGAAGCCATCGATAAATCAGTGTAAATCTTGCCAACCTTGCCATTTTGTTCAAGATAGCCCGCAATAAATTTTCAATAGATTTGTTCTTCCTAAATCCATGTTAAAGCTCGTATGGATTGCTCTCTCAGAACTTTGTGCGAATTGTTAATTATAGTTATAGGTTGATAATTTTCATTTTTTTTTTGTGATCAGGTACTATTTTTGACAGTTTTGGGTTACTTGAAAAAACCCAAGTTCTTAGTCAAAGATGAAATAGAATGGCTAAGGCAGCGTAGTCACTAAGTAGAAACGAAGGAATTTGTGTAGTTAGGTTTAATATGAAAACCAACGGAGAACCAACCGGTTCTTTAAAAAGTTTATGTTATAGTTTAACTATCAACTAACTTTGAAATCACCTGCGAGAAACTAATTCACTAAAAGCCTCACAGCTTCCAACTGTGTGGATGTTGAGACCGTTGTCCACAACCTTCCTAAGAGCAATTTAGAAATAAGGGCCACACCAACTAATAATAAGTACATTCTTGGTACTTTCGGAGCAATTGGGAAAACATTAGTCAACGCTGAACGGAAATTTTTGTAAAAGGAGTAAACAAGAGTCCCAGCCTTTATTCTTATTACCCCTTATTGTTAAACTGTTGGTGCTACTTTTGTTTTGAGAAGGATACACTCCTGAAGATGCGAGATGAGAAAGAGAGAGAGAGTGAGAGAGGGGGGAAGGGAGGGAGAGAGAATTCGAAACATAAACTTGAAATCACTCATTGCCTCAGTTTTAATTATAATAATAATTACCCATAAACACTTGTCAGTAATGTAAACCCTGAGAACAGTGAATTTTGAGTTAATTACCACAAGGAGCTACGAAGAGAAAACTACAAAAATATTGAAACTTAAAATTTTGTTATAAAAATTAAACCTTCACGTGTTTAGACATAGCAAAAAGAAGGTCTTATTTCAACTTGAAAAATATGTCTCTAAAATCTTATTCTGACATTTCAATAATATTTTTTACTTGTTATGCTGAATATTTCGTAAATTTTCTAGTGTAGCATTTGTCGCTCAGCGAACGCAATAATCCATGGTTGTACAAAAAATATAGCACGTATCAAGTGGCAAATCAAACTCGTGGCTAGATATCATTGATCAAACTAGTTAAAAAATTCCATAAACGTAACAAACTCTTTTAGACAACACTGTCTATTCCACTGTATCTTCAAAATTATTATTATGTTACCAGTATGTACGTAAAATAAGCAAGTTTGTTTTCAAAGGTCGTTCCGGTTGCAAATTGCTTTGGAACGGATCGTCCGAGACGCATCTATAACTCAGAAGACGGAGTGAAAAGCATCGGCGAGTTCGCGTTATTCACGCAACCTGAAAAATCGTACCGGGAGTGCGTTTTAAGAGCCGGTACCACTTTTGAGAGAGCGCGCAGGTTTTGATTGATGCCTTGCCGTGTCTATTGCTTTGGTGAGTTTCTCTCCCAGCGTGCGGTATAGGTACGTAATTGTTTTTACACATGCACGATCTGTTATCTACATCATCTGTATCACTTCCGTCACGATAAGCGCATTCAAAGTTAGGTTAGGTCCATAAATATGCGCCGCGGCACAGTGAATGGTCAAGGAGGTTGCCCCGCGGATAAGCTATTCGTACGCTTTTAATGGTTAATTGTGCTACTTTACGAGATTGGGACGGTTTTTTGGGCTTTGATAGCCGATCACATGTTTGTCTCTGGTTACCACTCAAAAAATGCATTCAAACTTTGTTTTGCTTATTGCTTCAATTTAAAGTCAAGGTCGACTGGGACTATTTAACAAAAGAGAGAGGACAGACAAGTACTATTAGGGATTAAAAAATAAATAAATTGGCAACGAATTCTTATTTAGGAGTACTTAGAAACCAACTACACCAATTTCTATAACTGTACCATTTAAAACAGTTAAATAAGAACAAACGTTGTTCAGATTTTCACATAAATATATTTAATAGTAATTACTTCATGTGAGGTATTAAATTGAGATTTAACAAGGGGGATCCATTCAAATCCAGTTGGTCATTAAGTAATACATTCGAACCTCTCATCTTATTAATCTCCATAGCTTCTAGTAAATTTAATTTTCTACTTTTTGAAACAGTGTGTAAAATATCTAAATTGTCGTCAAAATTGTGTTTTTCTTAATTTAAATGTATAGCGTAATTAAAATCTGAACTATTGTTTTTAAATGATCGTCGATGTTCATTGACACGTTTTTTCAAAGATCTACCTACCTGTTTGTCCAATAAAAATCTTAGAACGTGATCCGCAATTTTATCCATAGACTCCAGAATTCTGGGATCTATTTGATTAGGATTTATTGTTTTTAACAAATTTTCCTAGGGTGTTATTAGTTTTAAAAGCAATTTTGAGGCCACATTTCGAGAGATGATCTGAAACTTTATTACTAGGTTCTCCTATGTATGTTAAAGTTTTAAAACCTAGAGCGGGGATATATAGAGTTCAAAGTTTTTTGAAATTGTTTCTTAGTTAAGATTCTATCTATCAGTGACGGGTCATAGCCATTGTTGAATGCAATTTGTTTTATAATATTTAATTCTTTATCAAAGTTTATTGCAGAAAGAGGGATAGTTATCAGCCTATGAATAAAAGAAAAAAAAAGCAGCCATTTTGTGTGTATAGGGATGGTTTGAACTCTCATGTAATATAGTGTCTGTGTGTGAAGGTTTATGGTATATTGAAAAATCGAAACAGCTGTCATTTAAATATATTTATGTGAAAATCTGAACAACGTTTGTTCTTATTTAACAATTTTGAAAATTTTGTTTAAATTTTTTTGTTATGTTTCTTTTTACATCAACCTAATGTCATGTCATGGCCCGCTGGGACTAATTATGGATATCAAATATCGACAAGGGCTGTTAGGGATTTCTTTAAGATAAAATGTCAACGAATTCTTATTTTGGACTGCATAAAACCTAACTATATTAATTTCCATGAAGTTCGCTTAAGCATTACTCCTGTAGAGTGTTTATTTATAGCTCAATTTTGGTAGTTCTTTTTTACTGGATAGATCTTACTGAAGAAAAATGAAACGGTTTTTTCATATAGCATTGACTAAAGTCATGGCTAACTGACAAACTTATTTGTGGCGAAAAATTGAGGAGTACTTTTAAAGAGGACTACCTAAAAGTAACTAGACCAATGACCAAAGTTTTTAATGTTTTAAAAAATAAATATTGTAAACCTTGTAAATAATGATTATTTTGTATGTGATTTTAAAATACTTTTTAAAAGATATTTATTTTTTAGTATCATCTTAAAACAACAGCATTGATAAATATTGGTATTCGAAAGATGTAATATTCGTTTCTCCATAGCAAACTCGGTTTTACGAAGGAAACAGTATGCCGACGTCAATCATTTCCATAACAGCTGCTCCGTTGAGTTCTAAATGAAAATATAACTTTTGAACCATCAAACAGAATGAAGTATGATATGCTTAGGAATGTATATTATGAAGAAATTGGAAAATTTTACTCCTCTGGCACTACATACGGTTTCGCATCCACTTTGGCAGCTCCATCAATTCTCATGGCGTCATCTGTTTCCATTTGAAGCCTATTTCCAACATCATATAATAAAATGTTTTAAAACGGTGTATATTCGTATAAACGAATATTTTATTTCAGTGGTACGAAATGTAGTAATCTGATGGATTTTGTGATCATTTTATAATTTAAGTAGAAGTGTAACATGGAACACATCTGCTAAATAAGTTTAAACCTTCATCCATCCGTCTCTGTTTGGGTTACACGAGAGACATAGATGGTTGCTCGATTGGACTTGAATCCTAAAGTTCCATGGGGGCCAAGACAATTGCATTTACAAGATTACATTTCTTATAGCCATCCGATCAATTCCACAAAGCAACTTACTTCCGTACACGCTACTGGAAGCTTTCGACAAGATCCTTTGTCTCTTCTGGAATGTGGATGTGTGACTGTGAAATTCATGCAAGAACAACTCGGATTTGCCATCTATTATGCTCTTTATCAAACTTATTGTATATACATATTTCTATTTAAAGATTACTTTTTTCTGAAGTCAATTATTAAAATAATAATAACAATAATAATAATAATAATAATAATAATAATAATAATAATAATAATAATAATAAAGAAGAAAGACACCACATCTTAACAGAAGAGCAAAAAGGATGTCGTTATGGGTCTCAGGGCTGCAAGGAACAACTGATTATAGACACCATTACTACACACGATGCCCGTCTTAGATCACGCAATATTGCAGTGGCATGGATTGACTATCACAAAGCCTTCGATTCGGTGCCACACTCTTGGCTAATTGAATGCTTAAGACTCTATAAAATCGATGAGAAGATAGTCAATCTATTAGAAAGGTGTATGAAAAACTGGCAGACCAAATTAGTTGTAAACCTTGATACTGGATCTGTGAACACCGAAGAAATACCAATACGAAGTGGAATTTTCCAGGGCGATGCGCTAAGCCCTATATGGTTTATCCTGAGCCTGAATCCCCTCTCCTGGGCCTTAAAAAGATCGAACCTAGGATACGAGCTGAAAAATGGAGACCAAAAGTATAAACTAAGCCACCTCTTTTACGTTGACGATCTGAAGCTATATGCGGGATCTGAAAACACACTGAATAGATTAATCCAACTCACACAACAATTCTCAGATGACATCAAAATGAGATTCGGGTTGGATAACTTATGATAAGCTGGAATCTGAAACCAAAATAATGTATCTTAACAACGCGTATTATAAATATCTAGGATATGAGCAGAATCTTAATATTAATCAGAACAATGCTAAGGCTAATATAGAAACTAAACTGCAAAACAGGGTGATAAAAATATTAAAAACGGAACTAAACGGAAAAAACAAAATTAAAGCTGTAAACACATGGGCGGTACCGATAATCACGTACACGTTTGGTATATTAAAATGGTATAACACTGACTTGGAGAGGCTGTACAGGAAAATAAGGACCCTCATGACAGAGCATAGAATTCACCATCCTAAGGCATGCACTGAAAGGCTATACTTGCCAAGATCGACGGGCGGAAGAGGATTGGCTGACCCCAACATACTGCATAGGCGTCAAGTAAATCAGTTAAAGAAGTTCTTCCACCGTAAAAAAGATACTTCGAGGTTGCATAAGCTCGCTTGTCAGTCGGATAGATACTCAGCTGTAGATCTCAGAAAAAATGTAATAAAAGAGATACCAACACTTGATGAGGTAAAAGAAAAGTTGTTGAGTAAGCCCCTACATGGAAAATATCCAACTAGTTTAAAAACTGCTGGGAGCGAATCAACAAATTGGTTAGTTAAGGGGCAGCTATTCGCTGAAACTGAAGGATTTATCGCAGCTATTCAGGATGGAAGCATAGCGACTAGGAATTATAAGAAGTATATCCGAAAGATCAGAATAGATGATGATAAATGTCGTATGTGTGGACGGGTGCCAGAGACCATCGAACATGTAATAGCAGGATGTCAAACGCTAGCTCCGTCTGAATACACCAAAAGGCACAATTTAACAGCAAATATTGTACACCAAGAACTAGCAATGCTATGCAACCTAGGAGAGGGAAAATACAGTCCATATTTTAAATACATACCTGCTCCAATTCTTGAGAACGAAAATTATCGGCTATACTGGGATACACCAATAGTAACAGATAAACCAATAGCCAGCAATAGACCAGACATTATTCTGCTGGATAAGGCTAATAAAAAGGCGTATTTCATCGACGTCTCACATCCCTCGGACCACAACCTGGAACAGAAAGAAAGAGAAAAAATTAATAAGTATTACGACTTGGCAGAGGAATATAAAAAAATACTCACCCTAAAAGCAGTACATGTTATCCCTGTAATTATATCGGCCACTGGGCTAGTTACCAAGAAGCTTGCAGGATACCTGGAAAGACTGAATATAACGAATAAAACCATCGTTACAAAAATGCAAAAGTCCGTAATACTTGAAACTTGCAAAATCGTCCGAAAGACCCTGAATATCCCGGAAACATAAACCTTCCCCCCCCCCCCAACTTTAGTGACTGGTTAATAAACCCCACTAAAGCTGCTACCCTAATAAGGAGCAAAAAAGAGATAATATTAATAATAATAATAATAATAATAATAGTAGTTTAATTTATTAGTTTTTAGTATTATATAACCTTCAATAAAAGATAAAAATACCTATCCTACAAGATCGCCCTGTTTGTGAATGGATAGCAATAGGCAAAACCCGTAAATTGACCCAACCCAGGGTGATACTACATGCAACTCGATAAAAAGAAAGAAATAAAGTAGTATAAGTATTGGTTGGGTCACTCTGTAGTCCCCTTGCATACGTAGTTAGGTTGTGTTATCCTACACCTTCCTGAAGTAGACTTTGACAACTCCAGATTGGGTTGCCGGAATGGAACGGGCTACGTCTCGTTTACAACTAAGTAGCTTAATTCTTTTGGGGACAATAGTTTGCAAAATGCAATAAAGAAATAACCATAAACCAATCGACATTACAGGTAATCGATAGACAGAATAAAACGCTTTACCATAAATAACAGCGTATCACGTTTTAATTGCAAGCTTTTCAATTAATAATATTTTCCCTTTGGTATACTAATCGCTGATTACCGGTAACGCGGCGTATAAATATGAAAATGAGCTGGATACGGCATCTCGTGATTATTGTAATTCAACGTAATTTCCTAATAGTGAACTCGTCTTAATAGGTAACGTGTAATTTCCAAAAACGAGTCATCCAATGTCACCCGTTAAATACGCCCATAAATAATAACCGGTCGGAACAATGGCCAATCAAGACCGCTGCCGTTTGTTTTCACTAACGTGCAAGACAAACGCTCTTTTGAATGGGAAGCTCCACCTATGTATGTGACGGTTAACAATGAAATTACCACACTTCCGTTGGTCGACTTCCGTTCGTAATAAAATCATTTTTGATATATGCAACATATGCGCGGCGATTTAGTCAGAAGAAAATAAGGATAAAGTAAAGCGTATATACGTAATATTCAACCGTCTCTTCCGGTAGAGCCAAAGAGCAACCGATAACTTTGAATCTATCGACTAACGACTTCCAGACGAGGAAACCAGTGGACAACTCATTTTTTTTAATTTTCGGTATTAGTTCGTTAATATTGATGTGTGTCTTTAAATTAAATTGTTTAACAATTAATCTTTTGAGAGTCGCGAATTATCTTTAAAAATACAGAAACCTAGAAGGATCTCCTAAGATCTTAAATGCCAGGAACGTTGCTATATTAAAAAGGTCCCTTGCTTTAACAAAGAAATCGAGATTATTAAGTTAAATGGATATCGATAAGTTCTTCAGTTCAGGGAACTGATAGATGACGATAAGATCGCAATTGGAAACAACTTGGTAATAAGAAGAAAACAGTTCAGACAAATGGTTAACGAAAAAATCCGTCAGGACTGGCAGAACATCTGGAATGGATGTAACACCTTGCTTCGAAAAACAATACCATGCCGGCAACCCAATCTGGAGTTATTAAAGTCTATTTCGGGAAGGTGTAGGATGACACCACCTAACTACGCATGCAAGGGGACTACAGAGTGACCCAACCATACCACCAACTTATACCACTTTATTTCTGTCTTTTTATAGAGTTGCATGTAGTACCACCCGGATTTTGCTTATTGCTATTCATTCACAAACAAGACGATCGTGTAGGATACTCGTAAAAAGGAAAAAATATTTTGACTGAATAATTTGATTTTGATATATAAGGTATTTTTATCTTTTATTGAAGGTTATATAACAAGCAAAATATGAATCCACGGAATTACCCAGATTCGAAGCAGTACGAACGAGTTTCTACCAGACACACAACTCTGATGTGAAGTAAATTTGACTGAAGTTCACATAATCAGGGCAACAAATAAAATAACACAAATTTTTGAAAACAATTTGAAGAAGGGACAGATTATACACACACATATTTAAAAGACTTTAACATATTTAACAATATATAGAAAATATTATGATTAGATGAGTAGATCCTGTAGATTGGGGATATTTTAGTGTGTATATCTGGAATGCACAATTCACCACGGAGTTTCACACTCCCGGGTGCTTTTCACGTAGGGCGTCCATAAAGGATTTCACCTCCAATTCCCTACAAAAAAATATAGTATAAATAAAGTAGGTAAAGCTCCTTTCAAAATGACTATAATTTAAAAGTTACCCAACCCAAAAGAATATGCAGGGCATTGTTTTCCTCGAGTTTAGCGGTATTGCTAGCTAATCGGGTTGCTATCACCTTACCTCAAGTTGCTGAATGCTACATTCAGAATTCTGTTCAGAATAAGGTTTACGTCGGTAACATAATTCAAAAGTCAAGGAGTTCGAACCAGATACCGCATCACCAACTCATTATAATATAAAAAAAAATTGAATTTTGTTAGAGTAGTACAAAACTTATACGAGCAAACTGCCATAATTATTTTAAACAATGCAGAATAGGTTACTAAAGCCATGTATATCTATTAAACGACAAATACGACAAGGTTGTTGCCTATCTTCTTTACTTTTCAGCCTGTATACTGACGATCTTATAAAATCTTGGAAAACAAAAGTTCTCAAAGGAATTCAACTCAACCTTGCTATTTGCCGATGATCAAGAAATACTAGCAACAACTTACAGGCTTACAGAACGCTGTGCCATCTTATTGACACTATGGCCAAAGACTACAAAAGTTGTGAAATTTAAAAAAGTTAAACAAAAATTATGGTATTTAAGGGAAAAATAAAATGTGATCAATAATAAAATCAGTGTTTAGAACAACTACAAATACAGCTATTACACACCGGTTACAACATTTTACAATACATGTAATGTTTTAAATATAAATGAGCGTGGCAATATACCGGCACATATAAGGCCTAGAAATTCTAGACATCTGGTAAAACCAGATAGTGTTAAAGCCTATGGTTTAATTAATGTACATACAGATAATAATAATCTACTGTAAACAGAGAAAAAAAATCTAAAAAACCAAAAGGAAAAATTTATAAAAAAAGAAGTCACCAACAAAGATATAAAAATAGAAGAGAGAGCTGGGGGAGTGAAGATTAAAGAGGCAGGACAAAACTAAAATACTATATTTCAATTTTTAAAATTTAAAATAGTATGTAAACAACTAGGGCATTTTAAGGGACGTTTTCTTATATTTTTATGGAAAGACTCAAAGGAAGGATTAAAATCTAGTGTATTTAATTTATGCATCCATAACGCAATATCATACGAAAATGATCGTTGAAAGATTTCTTTTCTATGTTGTGGTATTGTCGATATACCACGCGTCGGGAGGTTTCTCTTATGAACATTTTAACCTAAAAGATATTCTGCTAAAATGGTAGAATATCTTCAAGGGATAATGTTCATTACAGTAATTTCCGGATGCATGGTATATTAATAGTAATACAACAAAGAATAACATATGGATTTTATAATTATATTAACAATTAACTAGCGATTTTTAATAAAATGCTTGGCACCATGAAAAGAACTTTGGGAAAACAGTTCATACGGGAAATTCAACCGAAATTTTAAAAAACTAAGGCAATTCCAACCCTGGTGCACGACAGCGAGACTAAAAAAGAATAATCTCTCAGATACAAGCTAAAGAAATCAAACTTTTAAGCTAAGGCTGTGTCACATAACTAGCTGAATATCAAAAGACCTGATAACTAATATGTTCAACGTAGAGGTAGTGTGCGACGCCCCTTGAAGAGATAGTTGAGCCGGAACAAGCCACTAGAGCTAATCCGTGATTAAGACGAAAACGATAAATAAGTAACTTAAATATTAATTATCCAAAATAAACTACTACTAAATAATTTGTTTTTTTAATCTTTCGAATCTTAAACGGTAAGTGCACTAGTTACAATGCTCCTTACACCAGGTCAGGAACCGGCAGTTTTCGGAGATAAGAGTGAGACGGTTAACTCTTGAGCCATTTTTCTGCGGGTCTAAACATGTCGGAACGTTCAAACTCAATCGACGGAAAACGAAGTGAACGATTTCCAACGTATACCGCCGTTTATCCTTAAACAATGGCCTATTATGTAAAAACCTACGTCGGCAAACGAGCCTCATCTATCATTATCCGGCGGCGGCAGGAGTCGTCGGCAGCGACTCATTAGAAGGAAGCGGGGAGCCACATCTTGGACCCGGTGCTTGGGCCCGTGCCACGAAGAAGCCAACCACCCGTGCGATACTGTTTGACTCCTCGGTCCGGCGGGTTTGTTGCCCGTTAGGAGATCCGCGGGCGATGACTCCGTCGACGATTCTGGGGGTCATCTTCTGCGTGTTTGCCGCGCTAATACTAATAAGTCATCGAGGTTGATCTTAAATCGGGGTCGGAAATCTGTCCCCGGGGTGGTTTTAGCAAACCGAAACCGGGATAAAATAGTCCCGAAGAAAATGAATGAGTTCGGGCGTGTGCGGGGGCATGGTAGCGTTAAAGAAGTCCGTATAGCACCTTCGGAGGTTCATAAACTTCTGCTCCGGGAGAAACGAACCGTGTGAAACCACCGACACGAGCCACTCTCCGGAATAATGTGCCACGCATATCCTGGGGCACGTGCTCCGACCACTGGCGTACACGGAGAAAAAATGTTTGGTTACACAATGACTAGGGAGCGTTTTCGAGTGAGAAACTATTCCCGGTCTTAATTTGACCTGTAGTGGTATTCGGGAAGAAAGTGGTTGACATTTTTGCAGGTCCGTTGGTAACTAGTAAGAAAAAATCTTTATTAATAATTTTGAACATATTCTGACAATCTGAAATTGGTGTATAGTAAACAAACAACAAAGCATTATTTTTGAATATTAAACGTACAACTAATAGCATTATTTATTTGTAAACAAGGTATCCTAAAATTATTTGTTGACATGAGATTTTTGGAATTCTCTCTCTCTCTCTCTCTCTCTCTCTCTCTCTCTCTCTCTCCAGTTGTTTGCTTCATGTTTG